GTAACCTCGACCTCCTCGAAGAGACACGCCACGTCTCCGTCTAAGCGCATGCCAGTGCGGGAGAACAGCGTAGCCGTCGCCAACCACTATACTGCGAACCGCACCACGTAAGCAGCAGACCTCGAAGTGCAATCAGGTCAATCAGGTCCCTGCATCCCAGGTACCCGAACTCGGCGGAACGAGTCGTCAGAGGGGCCTCGGCCAGTGGGAGGCACGTGTGCTTCCGCCGCGAAACCGATCACATAATACCACCAGATGTCAAGCCCATACTGGCCTGCGGGGGGATGCCGCAGGACGGTGGACGGGCCAGGGTAAATCGATGAACCACCTGGCCCGCGCGCCCCGGGGGAGCGCTGAGGGCCAGGGACGTGCTGTACATGGGGTCGCGGCTAACAGCCGCAGAGATATGGTTGCCATGCAGTGCGTGGGGTCGCAGCTAACAGCCGCGGAAATAATGTGTCAAGGGCGGGCCGTGCGCCTCCAGCGGGGGGGCAGCCGCGGGAGGCGGTCGGGACAGTCGAACTGGGATGATTGCTGTCAGCGTGCCTCGACGCCCCGGGGGGGGCGCCAGCGCGTTGCACCGAGTCGAAGAAACGTGAAGCGTAAGCGCCCCTGGAGGACGCGGCGAAGGCAGGCCCAACTGCTGAGGGGGGTCGCGGCTAACAGCCGCGGAGTTGGTGAGAAGACGTACGGACCTGAGCACCACCTGCGAGGGGGCAGCCGCAAAAGGAGGACGGGCGGGCCGGCCCAATGACACCATGGCGTGCAGGCCCTAGCACCCTGGAGGGAGCACCGAGGGCACGGGCATAGCGTGAGTTGCGTTTGCAGCCAACAGCCGCAGAGCAAGTAGAGACATGGCGGGGCGAGCCTCCTGAGAGGGGACGTCAGCATGAGGAAGGGCGGCGACGAAGGCGCGAGGGCGGGGCAAAGGGGGGGCGGCTAACAGGCGCGGTGTGAACAGAGTGAGAGGCCGCCAGGCGGGAATCTGCAGGGTGCGGGCTGTCAGGCCTGATGGCCACTGAAGGCCAGGCACATGTGTGCGGGGCAGCGCGGGGCTGCAAAGAGTGCCGCAGGGGCTCTAGCAGTGAAGGGGGCCCACGTAGAGGGGGTCCGATCCCCGAGCCGCCTGCGGCGTGCCGAAAGGGGCGGCAATCATCCAGGGGGAGAGAGGCAAAGTGGCGCCCCAGAGGGGGCTCTAAGGCCTAGGACGGGCCGGCAGCCCCAGCTGGGCACGTCCAAAGCGGTATTAGCGCACGCGGGAAGGTGCGCAGGAGGAGCCGACCAGCCCCGCTAGCCAGGAGGGGTTGGGCTCCGAGAGGCACACTGATGTACAGTGTGGGGCGTCCACGAGTGCCGTTGCGTGCGCCCGTCTGTGCGTTATGGGCGGGACCTAGGAGTACGTCCAGGGCTGGCGCGAGCCTACTGCCCTTCTGGATTCCGCCGTCCTTGTCCAACGGGTGTCACTGTCTTCGCGGGGCCCCTTGCCTGTGGCCTTGCCAGGGGGGCCCGCGGTCCTAGCTCTGTCGCTGAACCGAGCGCGGGCTGCACCCCAGTTGACAACCAGGTGGAGCGCTGCGTCCATCTTGAAGACATGGCACTTGTGACTGAGCAATTCTTTGAAGAAGCGTACGCGAAGATCGGGGTGCTGGCGTGTAGGTAGGGTCAGCGCAGATGCGGCCGGACGGCGGGGGATTTTTGGTCGTCCATTGGTGCCATACTCCGTTGAAATAATCACCCATGTCTCTCTGAAGTCGCTTCACGGTCTCGGCAGGAGCCCCGCCAATGAGGGTTCAGGATGTCGACTCGCTCCAGAGGGGCGCTGTAGATGTAGAGTCCTGTGTCTGGGTCGACTAGGTCTTGCGAGTAGTCGGCTTGTGCACTCCTGAAGGATGGCCAGGGGCCTGACCGGGGAGTGGCCGTCGGGAATGGGGTATGTGTGCGTACGCGCGGGCCGACTCCAGCGGTCGTCGGCCTCCCACCTGGACCACCCTGCCCATTTTATCCAATGGCCGCCGTAGGGGCTGCTGCGACTGGTCTCGTGGTGCCGACGCGGGCGGCGCTCGCGCCATCCTTCGCTCCAGTCAAACTCATCCCGCGTCGCATTGGCAGCCCAGGGTTGCCGGGGGATGCTGGCGGAAAGCGGGGCTCCTCGCTCTGGGAGGCGCGTGAAGTTCCTGTCGTCTTGCCCAGACAGCACCAGCAGCAACAGCAGCAACCGCAAGAATACCTCTAGATGGTTCCATGGGTCCTCGTCCGCGTCGTCCTCATCCTAGTCCTCATCCTCCTCGTCCTCGTCCTCATCCGCGCCCTCGTCCTCCTCGTCCTCGTCCTCCTCGTCCTCCTCTCCTCCTCCTCCTCCTCCTCCTCCTCCTCCTCCTCCTCCTCTTCCCCTCGCCCCCACGCGGCCCCCAGGGATGGCCCGAAGAGGCCTTCCAAGGCCACACCGTTCCTCCCAGAGATCTCTCGGTTCACCCTGGTTGAATTATTTCTTTCCCAGCCATCCTGGGGTGTTGGGTGCTCGCTTTGAAGAGACAGCGCCCCGCGTTCCTCCCCTCCTCCTCACCACTCCTCCCATCCCCGTGCCTCGTGTCGGCACACCCCTCACACGTTTAGTAGCCCCAGAGTGAGAACCACCGAAGGCCGCAGCGGCAGGGTCCGCTTGCGACCCAGATTCAGCACTCCTCACACGTTTCGTGGCCCCAAAGGAGCTTCACTGGAGGTCCCAATGGCAGGGTCCGAGTTGCGGCCCTGCGCGGATTTCGGCACGCCCATCACACGCATCGTAGCCCAGTCGGAGGCTCCACCGAGGGCCCCTGCGGCAGCGTCTGCATTCCGACACCGCATACGATTCGACACAATTTTCAAACGCTTCGCGACCACATTGGGAGCTCCACCGAAGGCCCCAGCGGCAGGGTCCGCATGGTGGCATCGTACCCATGTCAGCACGCCGCTCACGCGATTCGTGGCCCCATAGAGAGCTCCACGGAAGGCCCCAGCGACAGGGTCCGCATGGCGGCCCAGCAACCGATTCGGCACACCCCTCGCACGTTTCGTGGTCCCATGAGGAATCCCACGGAAGGCCTCAGCGGTAAGGTCCGCATGGCGCTTCCGGCCGACATGCCCGCCCGCGCGCACTTGGAAAGGGGAGGCGCGGTCGGGCTGGAATGGCAAAAGCAGAGGCTGCCGGTGCCTTGCAGAGAGAGGGACGGTGCGCGAGCAGCCTGCAAGGCTGTCCGCCCCAGTACCGGCTCCTTCCCACGGACCTCATCTCCTCCTCAAACCTCCTCCTCCTCCTCCTCCTCCTCCTCGGAGGAGGAGGAGGAGGAGGAGGAGGAGTAGGAGCAGGAGTAGGAGTAGGAGGAGTAGGAGTAGGAGTAGGAGTAGGAGTAGGAGTAGTAGGAGGAGGAGGAGGAGGAGGAGGAGGAGGAGGAGGAAGAGGAGGAGGAGAAGGAGGAGGAGGAGGAGGAAGAGGAAGAGGAAGAGGAGGAGGAGGATGGGGGAGGAGGAGGAGGAGGAGGAGGAGGAGGAGGAGGAGGAGGAGGAGGAGGAGGAGGAGGAGGAGGATGGCCCGTGCGAAGAGCACGGGCCCCCGTGGCCAAATGCCAGAACCCCCGTGGAGACGCCCTCCTCCTCCTCCTCCTCCTCCTCCTTCGCCTCCTCCTCCCCCCTCCTCCTCCCTCTCCTCCTCCTCCTCCTCCTCCTCCTCCTCCTCCTCCTCCTCCTCCACTTCCTCCGCCTCCTCCTCCCCTCCTCCCCTCTCTCCTCCTCTCTCCTCCTCCTCCTCCTCGGAAGCTGGGCAAGGGCTGCTAAATCCGTGGCTGCTAAAATCGACCTCCGGGAAGTTGTCTTCGTCCTTCCGGGAAGAAGCCCCTTGACCGTTTCGCGTGCCGCGCCGCATTCCGGGAAGTTGTTTTTTTCCTTCCAGGAAGGCCGTTTTAGCAGCCACGGTTTTAGCAGCCCTCGCCCAGCTTCCGCCCCACTCGAAGCGCTTTTCAAGGTGGAGAGCTCCAGCAAAGGAAGAACCTGAGTAGGGGAACAAAAAGTGACATAAACATAAAAACTCGGAGGTCCGCGCGGATTTCTCGGATCGGCGCTGGGACCCCCCGGCGGCGCCTCCGGCGCCGCCCCTGGCGCGCTCCGCGCGCCAGGGAGGGGGGCCCAGCACCGATCCGAGAAATCCGCGCGGACCTCTTTTTTTTTTTTTTTTGTTTTTTTTGTTTTTTGTTTTTGTTTTTGTTTATACATACATATAGATATGTTTATGCCACTTTTTGTTTATGCCACTTTTTGTTCCCCTACTGAGGGGAGCCCTCCAAGGCTGGGGCTGCTCCCGACCGTCCTGCCAGCTGCGCCCGACCACGCGAGCCAGGCGCCTGCTCGGTGGGCGCCCCGCCTGCCGTGCCGATCCTCCTCTCGCAGCCCTCCCTGCGCCGCAGCTGCCGACCGCACGCAGGAGTGACCCTGGGCAAGAGTGCCTCCTGGTGGACGGCTTTAATCGAAGAAGAAGAAGAAGCAACGCCAGAAAGCATATGTTTGTGGCGTTTTTTTTTTTGTTATATCTTCTTCTATTCAAGGGGCCGCGGGTAGGCCAGCTCCACGCGCGCAGGCCAGCGACGGGGGGGACCCCTGTGAGCCCGCACCGAAGTCGACTCCGGAGAAGGGCCGCTCCTCCGCGAAGCCGCAGCCCCTCCTCCCGGTCGTGCTGCCGGCCCAGGCCGTGCTGGTGCTCCTGCTCTTCAACTTTTAGAGGAAAAAGAACTATGCACATACACCGATTCTGGCCAGGCCCATCCTGAGCCCAGGATCGGTGCATACGCCCTTTTACCTTGGCCAGGAAGGTATATGCACCGATCCTGGGTCAAGAAATGGACGTTGTCAGGATCGGTGCATGTGCATAGCTCTCTTCGCCCGAACTTTGCCCTCCGCCCTCGGCTGCCCCTCCTCGCTCCGTGCCCTCCTCGGCCTCGTCCGATGCCCTGCCCTCCCGTGCGCACTGCCGCCTCGGCGGCCTTGCCAGGGGCCTTGGCTTTGGCCTTCGGGCGCATGCGCGCCATCACCTGGCGCACGCGGGCCATGCTCTGCCTCCCTGCCCGCCCGCTCCCCCCAGCGCCAGGCTCCCCTCCCGTTGCGCAGCTGCGCGTCCGCGTCGGCCCAGGCCAAATGGATTTCCCCGAGAGCGCCGGAGCTCAGCCCACCACCTTCTGTCAACGCCCCCCCCTACTACGGCGCGAGCTGTGCAACATGTTTTTCTGTTCTAGCACAAAGAATCTCGACCAAGCGGCATGGGTCTCGAAAAGCAGGCCATCGACAGAATCATATGGTGCCGTGTTGCCACATGTGCTGTAATGCGTGTTGCCCTGAATCCCTGATTGCTGGCTCGATGCCATGTGCGTGCACCGGTGTCGTGCAATGTGCCTTGCAAGGCGCACCAAAATGCGAATTCGTGGCTGGGTGCTGTGGGATGTGGTGCGTTGGGTCCGCGTGGTGAGCCCTGGATTCCAGGGTGCTGACCACGTCCAGTGTGGCCCTGCGTTGCTGTTGCGCGGTTTGCCGATAATGGTAACGGTGGCCCGCAAACATGCTCAGCAGGGCTATTCGGCGCCGTGCAGTGGGGCTAGGTCCCGTGTCTCGAAAAATCATTTCGTTGCGGTGCTGTGCGCTGCGCCTGAGAGGTCCGAGGCATGAGCCCAATGCCGCGTGGTGTCACGGGGTGATGTGCAGTGATGTGCCGTGCAAGGGTGCTGTGAGGTGTTGCGCGTGGTGCCCCACGGTCCTGAAGTGGTGGCACGGGGCCGGCCCAGGGCCGTGCGCGGTGCCCTTATCTGCAGTTGTGCAGTGCGGTGACGTGAGCAGTGCCCCCCAGGCCCGGACTGCTGGTCCAGGGCCATGTCACGACACCCTCCGCCCGAGGTCAGAGTTTCGTTCTGCTGCCAGTCAGAACGCCTAGCTTCTTGAACCACTCTTCGTCCATGGGTTGAACTGTTGGATGTTCCCAGAGTGAGCTTCAACGCTGCCATCTCATCGCATCTCTGAGCGAGATCTTCTTTCCTGCATTGTTTGGCTTGGCTGGCTTAGAAACCCTTCGCCGTCGCTCGAACGATCGAGAATTCTGGCCGCGCGCGCAACTCAGGCGTGGCTTGCCGCCTTTCGGAATATTTGTCCTCTCGCGGCATGAGCCAAACTCCCCCAAACCCTCAATGTGACATCGCTCAGCGGCCGATAATTACCTCGAGCGCGTCATCCACTGCTGGGCTCTCGCGGCTGCTCGACGTTCGCAATAGGCATGCGATCATGCCACAAGCATCCTCCTGCCTGCATGCCCACTCCGCTGCCTTCGATAGGACGAGGCGGGCAACTTTCGAACATCAGCGTTGCCACGTCTTGCGTGCTCTGCAGGTGACGTCCGTGTGAGCATCTCTCGGTCGCCCGACCCTCTTGTGATCTCCAGCATGCGCAGCGGCCTCGGGATTTGCGCGGCCCGCCTTTCAGGACCTCGGTATCTCATACCCTGAAATTGGGACTGGAACTCCGCCCTGCGCACAGGGGCGTTCGAGCGGTCCCATGGTCAGGGCCTTGTGTTCGGGATCCTCCGGGGCGTCCGGTCGAATCCCCTTGGAACCAGGACGATCCAGCGGGGGCCTGCCGGAGATCTCCGTCGGCGGAGTCCCTCACGCCGGGATCTTGCTGCCCGGATCCCGTGCCGAGGACCTTCTGGGCGACTGGAGATCCTGACAGAGAGGGGTGCTCCAGCCGGGGTGCTGCTGACCAGAGCCCCATTCCCAAGAGGCAGGCGGCCAGAAATCCAGGCGGACAGAGGCAGTCAGGCCAGGACGCAAATGGCCTCGACCTGCCGGGACCCCTATGCTTCGGACCCTGCGTCGGCGATCAGAAATCCAGAGGGGCAAAACGAATTCATTGTCTACGCGTCGGAATCCATTGGTGCAGTCAATGTTCGGACAAGTAAGATTAAGACTCGTGCAAGTGGTAATGCGAATTGGAAATCGTAAACACATACTAATCAGAAGACCGATGTCAATGTCAATTCGCATGCCAATAACAATATCTAGAACAATGCTCGTTCTGACATGATTGACCCCCACGAGGGCGCAACTCGAAAACGCAAACATGAACCCCATTAGCTTGTCTCTTGCAGTGATCAGCTGTGAAGGCGTGAACCACGACAAGGGCAAAGAGGAGGAGGAGGACGACTACGAGGGAGAGTGGGCAGCCCAGTTGCCCCCACACAGGCCATCTTATGCCTGGGTGATGTTGCGGCTGCACGTGCTAATGCTACAGCTGGCTCGCGTTATCCTGATCGATCCACTCTCCAGCCTGCATCTTGTGATCCTCCCTCAGCCTCGTCGGACAGGAGGAGGGGGTGGCGGTTACCCCCAGAAGGCTATCACACTCATAAGTGATGTTACATCTGCAAGTGCTGCGGCAAGTTCATGTCGTGACGATGATCCCCGCGCTGATTTCGGGCACCAAACGGATCGTTCAACCTTGAATGATTGGCCGCTTCTCGATCGCCAGAGCTACGGAGGGTTCGTGTCGTGACGACCCCGGCGCTGGTTTCTGACACCGAGTTGATCGGTCAACCTTGAATCGGCGGCAAGCGAGGGGGGAAATGAGAAGGAGAAGGTCTTCTCAGAAGGCGTCGAAGCTTCCCATATGCCCTCCGGCCTTCTTAGAGGCTTTCTGCGTCTTCGGGACAGGCGTAGACAACTTCTGAGAAGGCCTGGGGACTTCCGAGGCTTCTGACAAGGCCTTCTCCCTCTCACTTCCGCCCAAGGCTCGCCGCCGATTGAACGATGGGAAGCTCTTCGATCGCCAGAGCGTTCTATGGTGGCCGGCCCTGGGCCACCCGCGGCGCTTCGCCTCGCACGCCCGCCCGCGGCGGGGGCGCTGCCGCGCCGGCACGACACGACACGAGCCCGCCGTACTTCCAGGCGGCGAGGCAGACAAAGGGGAAACGGGAGAGGTGTGCTGCCTCGCACGGCAGGTTCGCGCGGCGTCGCCGCGCGCAGAGGTCTTGACGCCGCGTCGATGGTTCACCGTTGAGCCGATCGCGGCCCCTGTTGCGTTGCTGTGTCCCTCTGTGCTGCCGCGTCGTTCTATCATGCGGAATTCAACCTCGAACGCCTTCGCTGGCGTCGCCGGCGCGCCATCGACGCATGAACCTACCGAAGTGGCAACGAAGCCTTCTCCTCCCACGACAACGAAGCCGACGACGAAGAGTTATGAAGAGAGAAGCCTGAGAGCACTCGGACGCGAAACATAGTCGCGAACCAAAATCCGCTCGGGTAGCCAGCATCGCGCGCCACACAACCGAAGCGCTGCGGCAGTCGTCCGGGATTGCGTTTCCCAGAATTAAGAATTATGGGAAACGCAATCCCTGACGACTCCCCCAAGCACACAATGCACGGGAAACGCGATTTTCCTGTAATTCGACTTCCGAAATATGGGAAACGCAATGCCCCTTGAAAAACCGCACTCGATGGGCCAGAATTGCGTTTCCCATAATTTGGAATTATGGGAAACGCAATTCTGGCCCATTGAGTGCGTTTTCTTAAAAGAAATTGAATTTCCCATAATTCAGAATTCGAATTCTCGGAATTTCAAATTTTGGGAAACGCGATTTCCCTTAAAAAACCGCACCCAATGGGCCAGAATTACGTTTCCCATAATTCCGAAGTATGGGAAACGCAAATGTGGCTCATTGAATGCGTTTATTGAAGAAAATTGCGTTTCCCATAATTCAGAATTCGAATTCTCGGAATTCCGAATTATGGGAAACGCGATTTCCCTTGGACAACCGCACTCAATGGGCCAGAATTGCGTTTCCCATAATTCGGGATTATAGGAAACGCAAATCTGGCCCATCGAATGGTTTTTTTGAAGAACGTTGCGTTTCCCATATCTCAGAATTCGAATTCTCGGATTTCCGAATTATGGGAAACGCAATTTCCTTTAAACAGCCGCACCCAATGGGCTATAATTGCGTTTCCCATAATTCCGAATTGTGGGGAACGCAATCTTGGCTCATTGAGTGCGGTTTTTTTTTAGTTTGCAGAAAATTGCGTTTCCCAGAATTCAGAATTCGACTTGGAATTTCGAAGTATGGGAAACGTAATTTCCTTTGATCAACCGCACTCAATGGGCCAGAATTGCCTTTCCCATAATTCCGAATTATGGGAAAAGCAATTGTGGCTCAATGAATGCAATTTTTGAAGAAACTTGCGTTTCCCATAATTCAGAATTCGAATTCTCGGGATTCCGAATTATGGGAAACGTAATTTCGGTTGAATACGCCACCTCAATGGACCAGAATGGCGTTCCCCGTAATTGGGAATTATGGGAAACGCAGTTCTGGTCCATTGAATGCGGTTTTTGGGAAGAGCATTGCGTTTCCCATGGTTCGGGATTCGAAGTCTCAGGATCCCTTGAACAGCCGCACCCAATGGACCCGAATTGCGGTTCCCATAATTCGGAATTATGGGAAGCGCAATTGTGGCTCATTCGGTGCAGTTTTTTGAAGAAAATTCTATTTTCCATAATTCATAATTCGAATTCCCGGAATTCAGAATTACGGGACATGCAATTCCCTTGAACAGCCGCACTCGATGTGCCAGAATTGTGTTTCCCATAATTTTGATGAAACTTGCGTTTCCCATCATTTAGAATCCGAGTCCTCGGGGTTCCGAATTATGGGAAATTGAATTTCCACCGACTTGCGTTTCCCATAACTCCGAATTAAAAAGCAATTGTGGCTCGTGGAATGTGATTTCTTGAGGAAAATTACGTTCCCATAATTCAGAACTCGAATTCTCGGAACTCAGAATTATGGGACATGCAATTCCCTCTGAACAACCGCACTCAATGTGCCAGAATCGCGTTTCCCATAGTTCCGAGTTCTGGGAAACTCAATTCTGGCTCTTCGAGTGTGGTCTTTTGATGAGACTTGCGTTTCCCATAATTTAGATTCCGAGTCCTCGGGGTTCCGACTTATGGGAAATTGAATTTCTATTGAATTGTGTTTCCCACAATCCCGAATTAT